ACTGAGAAACAAAATAATTTCAACACTGTAAATAATGATAGCAGCATTAACGTTCAGTTTCATGTTATTTAACGGCATATAATTTTATATGCCGAGCCTGGTAATCCCAGGAGAGTACCCAGACAAGTAATTGTACATTGAAATGCTGACAACTAAACACAATCGTAACTGTTGCTAACGTTAGCTAGTTACTGATGCTATCTCGTAAACGACATCATAAATGTACTCTTGATAATAAATACAGGTAACTTACCTTCATAGTCATGAACACATTTTTAAAACACTTATAATATGTTGTTATAAATGTTGTTGCACATGCATCACTGTCTGTATATTACTTTTCATTGTTAAAGTCATTTGTTGTTTGCAGTTGTTTTTATTAAAATGATTTTAATGCATTTGCAGAGTCATACATTTTAATTTTTGCTTATCAGATGGACAATTAAGCATTTACCCAGTGGTGTATAAAGTACCTGAAAGCCATACTCAAGTAAAAGTACAGATATCTTACTAAATGACTTTGGTTGAAGTTACCGTTTAGAATATTACTTGAGTAAAAGTCTTAAAGTATGTGATATTTATTGTACTTAAATACGAAAAGTATATTTTTTAATCTTTAAGCTTGAGTAGCAAGATTGTGTTCAGTTTTAACTCTTTCTTCCATTTTGTATTTTTGGGTAAGAATAAGAAGCACTTCATCTGGTACTTAATGTCTTTCATTCCAACATAAGAAAATATTTCTGGAATCTGCATCTGAAATAGCATTTAGATGTATTTACACAGTTTATGTATCTCAGAGGGGACATGGATTCATTTAAACTGCACTTACAGATGCATTTACAACAATTTGCATGTTTTGTTTTTTAACATAAAACGTTGAATACTGATATTTGAAATAATTTAAAACATGAAAAAAATTGTCGAAATGTGAAATTAAAACTGCCAGTAGGTGTCAGCAAGTGACTGTTAATGAGTGAGTCATTGAGATTCAACCGATTCATTCAAACGACTGATTCATTCAGAAACAAAGCATTTGACTGTGTTAATGAGTGAATCACTGAATCATTTATTCAACCGATTAGTTCAAAAAGCTGATTCATTCAATAAATAAACACTGTCCATTGCTTACAGACACAAAACAGTTCTGTGATCTTTGTTTGGAACTATTTTCGTTGGCAAAATTGAGCAAAAACAAGCAATATTACCTCTAAAATGTAAGTCACTTATTGCTAACTTTACTGAACTTGCGCGGTTGTGCGCGCACTTGTTTTCACATGAGCAAAGGTGTTTTTAGGAGTCTAACTTGCAGACGACTGATTCGTCAAACCTGCTTTCCTGCAGTCCGTGTTCTTCTGACTTCTTTTTTGACTATTTTGTAGTAGCCTAAGTAACAAATATGCTTCGGGGAAATGAATCGGAGTAAAAGTATACATTTTAATTAGGAAATGTAGTGGAGTAAAAGTAAAAGTTGGCTGAAATATAAAAACTCAGTAAAGTACAGAGACTCCCAAAAAATACTTAAGTACAGTAACGAAGTATTATTACTTCATTACATTACACCACTGCATTTACCTGAACTTGAGCTACAAATTTATTAAAAATTCACATTTTAATTTTACTGTCAATGGACAAATAAATATTTATTTGAACTTTATCTTCAAGTTTAGTAAAACTTCACATATTACTTTTTAATCAAATTATTAAGTCTCTAAAATTGAGAGTTCTCTAGTAAAGTGCAGATGTAGCCAAATATATAAGCAATGGCTCCACCATTACAAGAACAGCAGCGTATAGTGAGAAATAGATTATAGTCATTACTTTTAGAAATAATTGGAATGGATTATTAAAAAATATATATTGATGGGATTTTTTTCAGTAATCTATTAGTCTGCATTTATATTGTGTGCATCTTGACTAGCCATATTTTTGTCCCATGCTAGTATTACCGTCGATTGGAGTTTAGATAGTAAATCACGCACCGCTCACTTTACAATCACTAGAAAGCTGTCACTCATCTCAGTTCATGATCTCACAACGTTCCATTAAAATCAATAAAGTTGTCTACACTGCATAATGAATCTCTTACTTATGTTGTGTCTTTAATGCGAGAGGATTAGAGCAGGGTTGCCAGGTTTTCAAAACAAAACCCACCCAATTGCTACACCAAACTATCCCAGAACTAGCCCAATCGCATTCCGGGGGCTAAAATACACGTAAAATACATGTTTTTGGTAGGGTTCCCCTGGTAAAATTCGCATTCCAGGGGCTTAATATCACATTATTGGGGTTGCTTCAACCCGCGGACATGGAAAACAACCCATGGCAACAGTGTTAAAGTGGCCCAATTCCACAGGAAAATCGCGGACTTGGCAACACTGGATTAGAGTGAGCAGGCAGCACTTTTGAACAAAAACTGCAGCGTTTTGAGCGGTGACTTATTCTAACACTTCTGATTGGCCACTGCATTGTAGATCAACAAACGTGTGTGATTGGCTAAGTTTCTTAACGCTGCAAAAACACGCTGTAAAAAGGACAATTTCACGTTCTCTGGAGCAGAGTCTCAAAAACAATGGAGCATTTGCTAAATCTGTTTCAAGAATATTATATTACATTATTATCTGAGGGTGTCCTTGCTTTCGTTTCAGGGTGCTTATATTTATATTTTACTTTATGATGATTTTTACCCATGTTTTTACTTTTTTAACAAAAAAATATTTGTGATCAAATATTAATTCATGGACCCCCTGTAGTATCGCTGCATGGACGCCCTAGAGGTTGCGGACCCCCGGTTGAAGACCCTTGATTTAAATACTTAACTAGTTAACTACAAATTAAGTAAGTTCATTATTAATGATATAACAATTAAATAATAATGCATTGAATATTTTTAAATATTTTTAGATTTAATTTAAAAACTAAATTTTTAAGTTTTATATTCAACTGTAGAAGCTGCTAAATACATTCAGCCAACAGACTTGTTGCTGTTGTAGTTTTGTTACTCTGAATTTAGTCTGAATCACTTAATGCACAGCTCTGTTTTTTGCCATCGGCTCATCAGATGTTTTATTTTGGATTCACTCGCTTTTGTCATTCCTGAAACTGTATACGTGGACGTTTGGTCCTCTTAGACAAATAAAACCTTTCTTCAATTTGTGAATGGATTATGTAGAGAAACTAAGCAAAGGGCACAGCTGATTTTGACAGTTGACCGGAAATGACTGAGCTGGCTTATATAAAACCAGGAAGTAAACTTGTATATAGTCAATTGCTTGTGATTTGTTCATTTGTTCTTATTAACTGACTGTTCACTTAACTTTAATGATAGACTTTATATTTGTTATGCTTGTCACATTTGCTGTGTTATGAAAATTAGAATTAATAATTGTAAAATTGAATTGGTATCTAAAATTTTGGTCCTCATGTAATTTATTAGAATAAAAGATAACATGGGTCGAACAAAACAAAACAAAACAAAACAAAACAAAACAAAAAATGATAACAGCAACTATTTTTTGAGGCAGGGCCAGTGAAAATATTAACAGGGTAAGTAAAAATGAAAGAAATTCTTTCTTTCTTTCTTTCAAGCTTTTGAATGAATAGTAGAGCAAGAAAGTGTTTGTTGGGAGCAGATACATTTTTCTAGATATTTTTTCCCAAAGTGTTTTATTGAAACCAGGAAAAGGAAAAATTGAGCAGATAAATCAATTTATATTTTTTTCCAAGCTTTTGAATGAGTAGTAGAGCTAAGGAAATTGTTTATTTGGAGCAGATAAATTCCTTTACCATGTTTTGAAAATACATTTTATATTGCCTTTTGCTAAAATAGATTCAAATTCATCATAGCACGTTTTAGAAATGTACGGCGTACTAAAGCATGCCAGAAAGTCTGAAGTCAGACATTCTTTGTAGGTGGGCCTGCCCATATTGCTGAACAGCATCTTCCCAACCAGATCACACAAACCTTTTTAACAAACCACCATCAGGGCGTGTGAATGACTGACAGCACTTTCAATTCACAGCCTTTTTTTTTTTTTGTTTAAGTAATTTTATAATCATGTTCGAACAGTGGGAAGCTCTGGGAAGTCAAGCCCTTTGTGCGGTCGTGACCTTTTGAGATTTCCTCTCAATTCAGTCCCTTCTAAGGAGTCAAGTGCTTGTGTGGTAGTACCGGTTGCCATGGCGATGGAGTAGCATTCCATT